AAGATGCTCCCCTCTTAACAGCCAGAAAACGAACAGAAGACCAATGGATGGTTTCCATGTGCTCCCTTTAAGGGCACACCGTAAGTTCTCTATTTAGGTCCTGCCTCCCAAGGTTTGGTTGTCTCTTGGTGCCAAACTGAGTACCCAAGTGTTTATAACACTTGATTTTTTAAGGGGACCTGTAACTAAATCTCATATATATATATATATATATACATATATATATACATATATATATACACATATATATGGGAGACATAATTTATATTTATAAATTTAAGTTATTTATAAATATAAATTTATAAATTTATAGATATAAATTTAAAATATTAAAATTGGTAAGATAATTTGTGGAGGAGGAAATCTGCCTCCAGATCCATAAAAAATAAATAGGTTTTCCCATGATTCATATGCACAACTTAAGAATAAAATATTAATATATTTCCTGTAAGTAGCAAGAAAATTCTGATTGTATTTATTACTTAAAATATGGTATTTATTTATATTTTAATCTACAGCAAATGTCAGCTATTTTCTTAGGTATGGTGATTCATTTCTTTCATCTCAGCACAGGTAAGGCTAAGGAAGGAGGGTCACCATAAGTTCAAAGCCAGCCTGAACTATCTGGTAGATTCCAGACCAGATACCCATGTCCATGGATATAGAGTGGCACTGGAAAAGGGGAAAAAAGTAAAACTTAAGCCAACCAGTGGATTTCCCATATTCCTGAGTAAAAGGCTTGGTCCAGACTCACACTCTGAATTTTTATAAATACAGACAGAACTGTAAACAAAGTTACAAGAGGGTGTTGTGTAAATAATAATGTGTTTTATATAGAAAGATCCAGACCTGAGGGAAATGGGAAAATATAAGGGATTTAATTTGCCAGATATTTTTATCTAATATAAAGCTTTTATAATCAGGACAAATTATACTTACAGTGGCTGGTCAGTGAACAAAACTGAAAATACAGGAGAAAAACTGCATATGAGGGAGAATTTAATATGACATGAAGTCTGACATGATTCAGCATCTACCTAAAATCCCCAGTTTAGTACCTTCCTTCCATCATGTGTAAGAAACTCCAAACACATGAAAATCAAATGCTAGGAAGGAATGATACCCTATTTAGAGAAAATCTTCAACAATATCTATCACCTAGGTTGGTGGGAATAACACAACCAAAACGTGAGGGCAGAACTTAGAAGAGATGACACCAATTTGATTGTGTGCAGCCTTAACATGATAAAGACAATTATGTTAGAAAAAAATCCATAGGAAAATGAAAAACTTCATTATAGCTAACAAAATTAATAACTGTAATATTCTTAGAATCTTTTAAAATCATCAGAATAAAGACACAAAATTCAGTACAAAAACTGACATTTTACGGGAAAGGAAATCTAATAACCCACAGTCCTGTGGATACAGGCTCAAATCTCACTGGCAATGAAAGCAGTGTTGTACCAGCAAAGAGCATCTTTCCTGAAAGGAAGCAAGCCTGGACCTCCAGGTCAGGTGACAGCATCTTCTGTAATATGAGGGCCCCACTGTTTTTTCCTGAAGGCTTTGTCTACTTAATGCTTTTGTATTTCCCCAGGAATGTGTAAAGTAAGAAAGACCAGTACTCAGAACCAGTACTGTGCTGTTTTAAACATTTTATATGAATTATATGTATTAAATCTCTGAGGAAAGGGATGGTTGCATGTGCTGAGGTACACATGTGAAGGGCAGAAGACACCTCTCCAGAATCCAGTCTTTCGTTCCACCGTGTGGGTTCTGGGGATTGAATTTAGGATGCAAGCTTAATACCTTTATGTGTTGAGCATTCTCTCTGGCCCACTACTGGCTTCTTGCCAAGAGTTTGTGATTTCCAAACTTCACTCCTTCCTATAAGCAGAGAACGATGAGATCCTGGGAGTCTCGTCTGTGTGAGTTGGTCATGCCGTTCAATCCATATTTTGCTGTTCAGTTGTTCATTTCTTCTTGTAGAAAGTTTGCATTAAGATTTAAGATGTCTCAAGCTAGTGTTACTTTTTCCAAAACATGCTCTACAGATCAAAAAAATGAAATAACTTTCTAGTTAGAGCAATAAGAGAAGCTATGGAAAGAAGAAAAAGGATATTAAGAAGCCCTAAGTCGAGGGAGGGAAAATAGATATTAAAACAAATAATTTTCATGAGCATAATTGTGGGGATTCAGTGTCTTGACAGTGTGGAGATTGGAGAGAAAACCTTGGAATATAAACATGGGAGCTTTGACTCTTAGTTTGACCTATGGTGATTATAATGAAGAGAACCCATGCTATGCAGTGAAGAGAGCCAGAATTCTGGAGAAATTCTAAATCTCCAGAGATTTCCTGGGGCCATGGAGGAATGTTGAGGAAGCTGCGGGTTGCATTCCTGCCACCCTGCTCCCAGCCGCCTGGCTAGCTTATACCCCGAAATAACAACACACAAGCTGTATTCATTTAAACACTTCTTGGCCCATTATATCTAGCCTCTTCTCGGCTAACTCTCGCACCTGGACTAGCTCATTTCAAATAATGTGTGTAGCACCCCAAGGTGTACTTACCGGGAAGATTCTAGCCTATGTCCATCCTGGGTCGGAGCTTCATCGTGTCTGCTCCAGAGAGCAGAGCTATCGAGTCTGAGCTCACTTCCTCTTCCTCCCAGCATTCTGTTCTGTTTACTCCACCCACCTATATTCTAACCTATCAGGGCCAAGCAGTTTCTTTATTAATTAACCAATGACCTTCCTCCATCAGAGGGAGCAGGAGGGAGGTAGAGAGAAACCCTGTTACAACTCCTCCCTGTGGAAATGTCTATAGAACTGTCCCTTAAGGTTTGGGCATTGACATAGCTATGAACCTCATAAGAAAGCCCTCAACTGTAGTAACAAATTCACTCCAGAAAATGTCTGACTATCGCAGCTTGACTCAGACAACTGTATGGCCCAGCCAGACAAGCTCTATAGAAGCCTGAATCTCAGTAGTTTACCCTTCGGATAAAGACCACAAACTGAGTCCATCCAGGCACCACCCAGAAAGAGACCAAAGGAAATTCCTAATGTTCCAACCATTGTAGATAGGATCTTCTGCCAACACGCCCATGCTTTTCACCAATCAGGGGTTCTAAACCTTAGAAATCCCTCACCCCCACCCTTGCTACTATAAAACCCCAACTCTAACTGAGCTGGAGGGGGGAATCACTCCAGTACACTGGATGCAAAGACAGACCAAGTTTGCAAACTTGTGTAAGAATAGACTCTTTGCTTTTACATACAGGATTTGGTCTCCTGGTTGGTTTGGGGGGTGCTCCGTTATCTGTGCATAACATCAACCATCCATTTACCATGATATATACCAGAAAATTCTTGTAGGAGGGAAGAAAGCCACAGGCATGACCAATATGCAACCACTCCCACCCTGCCAGCCCTGCCGAAACATATCAACCCTTTACAAGCACGAGAGAACTCTGGGGAGAAATTCTCACAGTGGAATGAAAGTTGGAAAATCTTTAGCAAAAGAATCCTCCGGATCAAGTTCAGGTTGTTTATACAGGAGAAATTATTTGAATGAAATAAATATGAGAAACTACGTATGTGTAAGGGTTACAGTGGTCTTCAGTGAGCACTCACACATCAGTTGATGCTTATGTTCTCACCTGGAGAGTCCTCTGCCAGCAATCAAATCTTCGGCTGAACTTCATATCACTCGTGCGGAGAAGACACCACAGAATCCAAGAGGATACAGCATTGCTAAAGGCATCTTTAGAAATCAATGTGGGATCAAGATCCATGGTCGTCTAGATGTACTTAGAACACAGCTATCCTTAAGATAGTATCCGGTGACAACTAATGATCACTGAGGCTAACCCTCCTCTGAAGCACATTATGAATATAATAACAACAATTGCTGAAAGTTATTTAGTTGCATTCTCTTGAATTTATGGTTTGTTTTCCTTTAATGACCCATCTTGGACCCATTTTTGCTGATTGGCTAGGATATCTTTTATACTGCTGCTAAATCATGACTACAAAGACTTTTAGGCTACCAGGACAAATAACCTTCACACCCTTCATATTTTATTAGTGGTGGAACTACATTTGCTCATGGAAAGGGCAAATGGAAATGTGAATAGACACATGATTTGTAAGAGAATTTGAAATATAACTTTCAGTATTGCTCACAGGGCCAATAAAATTGAAATAAAGGTGACTGATTATTAACAGAGAAATGATTGAATATACTGTGATATATTGTCATAAATACTATGTAGTCATTAGAAATGATTTAGATCTATGAAAGTTTATCCACGAGGTATCATAAATTTTAAATGTGTAATGGCTAAAGAAATGAATACTTATTTGTGTAAAGGAAAGAAACACTAAATATACATCTGTGTGGTCTGCCTGTATATGTTTGTATACACATACAGGTGTGCCCATGCATATATTATTACTGATGCTTGTATGGGCACATAGAGGAGTGTTCTCTGTTATACATCCATTCTTTATTTTTCTTCTGTTTTGTTTTCATTGTGCTAGAAATCAATCTCAGGACATAAAGCATAGTAGGAAAGTGCTGGACCACTGAGCCAACTCCAAGGTTCATGCAATCTTCTTAACTTGAGTAGATGATAAAAATGAAAAGATTCCAAATAACTATGGGTTACATTTATTTAAAATTATAATTGTTGTTGAGTGTTTTTTTGTCCATGTCTAAAACATGGTATAAAGTAATGGAAGACTCTGTTTTGAGATTCATTGATTCTTCAAGAACCAAATTATTGTCTTTGCTGGGATCACACTGGATTGCCAACAGTAGCAGAAAATATCTGAAGCTCTTGAACCATTTGGATCCCCTTGATTTGTGAAGGCAAGCATATCCCTTCCCTGTGCAATAATAAAGAACAAAGCTAGACGCAACAAGCAGCCTCACTAGCTAGGTCAGCGAGAACAGAGCAGAGACTGATGCTCACTGTCTTCTCTTTCTCTAGATGAGGATGGGCTTGGCATAAGCATCATTGGAATGGGTGTTGGTGCTGATGCAGGACTAGAGAAGTTGGGGATATTTGTCAAGACAGTGACAGATGGCGGTGCTGCTCAGCGGGATGGCAGGTGAGCTGGATACTGTTGACTGTGAATTGAACCCCAGGAAACTGTCCCTGCAAATTTCTGTCAATGGGATCTTCTTTTCATGAAAAAAAATTTTTTTAGTGTTTCTCAGATGTGTGAGAATGTTTAAACACTTGACTTACTTTCCTTTTGGTAGCAGAACAGTGCATCTGTCTGTCTTTGTTTCTGTCCATTCATCTGCTTACTCAGTGGGAAGTGGACCATAACATGGTATGTATGGAAGTTGGCATATAACTTTATTTCAGAAATGTTCAAGTGAATAGTAATAATTCTGTTTCTTTTGAAAAGGACAGAGTAGAGGGGAATTTACGATGCTGTAGCCTGGTGCTCCTCCATGTCTCTTACAGAGAACTAGGTGCCAGAGGAGACCTCTCTGTGAGCAGAGGCTGGCAGCCTGCTCCAGATAATTATGGCTTAATGTTTTAGCTTGCATCGGGTCAAAGGTAATGTATCTTTAATGTAAAGGTTTCATCTTAACTTTACACCAGGCTTCTGATGGAAAACTGGAAGTAAAGGGTGACAACAGAAATGAAAAAAAAAAAAAACACAGATTCTGTCAGCTAGATTCGGTGGACACTGAATAAATAGCATTCTTATGTTAGACTACATATCACATGTTCTCAGAAAGTCAGTGGGTCGTGGTCCTATTGAGACTGACAGTAGCAGCATTCTGTCTTTCATAATCCTAAAATACTTTTTTGTATACATCAGGGTATAAAGGGGTAGGTACCAAGTTGATTTATTTAATCAACTTATTTATTTTGAGAAAGGGTCTCAAGAAAGATGCTGAGTTAATTATGGAAAATATTGGTGCCAATAGCATGTTACTAAAATCTGTCTTCTGATTTCCACATGTGCAGACATGAGTATACATACATAAACACAATATAAAATAAATAATACACAAAATTTTAAGCTAGGCATAATGGCCAGTGCCTTTAATCCCAGCACTCGGGAGGCAGAGGTAGGCAGATCTCTGAGTTTGAGACCATCCTGATCTGCACAGCAAGTTTCATTCCAAGACATCCAGGGCTACACAGAAAAACCATGTCTAGAAATACATACATACACACACACACATATATATATATACACACACACACATATATACATATATGTGTATATAATTTAAAGTGAGAAATATTAATATCATGTAACTCATTGAAAAGGACCCTTTATTCCAAGTTAATTAAACTTGTAAAAATCTACTAATTTGTAAAAGTCATTGGGAGATAGGAAATAACCCTTACATTTAGTACCACGCAAAACTAAATGATTATGCATCATCTCTTAGGTGAACCGAGCCCAAATTCAAACAAAATCGCAAAATGAAAGCACAAAGAAAAGGATTACATTTAGCGCCCCTAGATCTGGTTTCAGACACATGGCATTTTATATTTTCCTCACTTGTTTTAAAAAATAAATTTGATTTCTCCGTCGGGATCCAGTGCCAGCCCATACCCTAAATTATTTCTCTGGACCAGAGGGGAGGTGTTGGATTAAAGACACAACAAACATGGTTTCATTGGGAAGGAGATCCTCAGTGATCTGTCAACAATACTTGAGTTCACATCCTGAAAATTCCTCTGCGTTAATTCTTCAAACATCCTCATATACCAATACATAAACTGAGGGGGGAATTCATTAGCATTCTGTTTCCTAGGTAACCAGGTGAATGGCTGTGGTCACATCCACATCTACCTATGCCTGCTCTGTCATGAATTCCTGCTCTATATGCCAGCTCTGTTTCATAGGCCGAATTAACATCTCTTTTTAGGCATCCTCCAAATTACAAAGAAGGAGCATAACGCTATCCTGCCCCTTTGTTAGGGATGGCGGCAGGCTAGGTGACCCACCACCTCCTGTCTGAGGTGCAAACAATGGCCTGGGATCCTGGCTGCCATACCATGTAGAAATATGAGCCTACATTTCTCTTAACCTCTTTATTTATTTTGCTGCCCTGTGTTGTTTCATTATTTATACTGATATTAGATCTTCTCCTGGGGAGTTGGGATATTGCTGTTGGATCTGTAGCTCCATGGCATTGTTATCCCCTGAAAGTCATTAATGTTGTCTCAGCTGCTGTCCCTGCCTTTTGTCCTTTGTTCTTTAGTGACACACACCTTGAGAAGTGGTTTTCCCTAGCTCCCTTCCCAGAAGTACTATGCCAACAAGTAACTATATGACACATTAAACACACCAAGAGTAGCCCAACTCCTACAGCTATGACTGGTTCTGAGTCTGTCCAGAGGCCTCTTGACAGTTTGAGAAGGAAGCTGAAGAAGGGGCTCTGTGCTGTGGACTGTCGCTGCTGGAGTGCTTTGCAGCCTGGGTTCTTCTAGCTTCCCCATGTTCTCTTCTTCAGCGACACACACTTCTCTACCTAATGTCATGACTTCTCTTCGACAGACCTCCTTTGACAGTTCATCCCTGGACTCCTGGTGATAAATCCTCTTGAGATTGACAGTTTTTCTTTTCTTCTTCATAGTACTTTTTACAGTCTTTTTTCCCCATGTTTGGGCACAAGGGTATGTGCGAGCATCATGTTTACACAGATGCATTAAATGAATTGGAGCGTGCCATATACTGGTTTTCTGCTCCTAAGTTAATTTTATGTGTTACACATGGTATATTTTCAATGGAAGTGTGAAAGCTCCAAATTATGTGTATTACTTCTCTTGCATCCATTGCATTTAGAGAATTTCCTTTTGGCCTTGGGTTATAGACTGTAGACCCTCAAATCCAGAATCTTCCTTCCGCTTCATTATGTTCTTGTCCTGCCCATGCCCTTGCTTAAGGAGTCGTTCTCGGAATGCTGCAGCTGAGGAAAGCCTTTCAGTTTGTTTCCCTATTCGCTCTGAAAATGTTACATGGCCGTCAGTGTACGAAATGCTGTTTTAAGGTGATAAAGAACGTATCTGGCATGAATGGTGAAGACCGTAAAGAAGAAAACGAAGTTCTCCCATGTCGCTAGGCACTGTCCGTGTTCTACTACTGAAGCTCGGCTAGGAGTTCCTCAGTTAGTGAAGTAAAGTAAGACCTGACGTCTTCAGGAGTCCTGCTTCCCACAGGCTTGTTCCCTGTCTGGCTAGATTGCTGAAAGTATGACCACAGCAAATCTCGGAGAACAGCTCTGCCTTTGTTCTGAGCATAGAGTTCAGCAGCCCTTTCTATGGAAGTGCACTTTCCTTCTCTTTCAAGTTGACAGCTTTCACCTTTTCACTTCAAGGAGTCCCACTATTTATTCTGGGCATATTTGAATTGTCTTCTTACTCTTAGGGACCAACACTGCCTTGTCCTTTGGGGCCATTGTTAACTCAAGGAAGAGAAACTTGAGCAGAAGCGCTGTGAGGCTGGGGATGCTCCTCTTGTAACTAAGTCCTTCTGTGACCAGCAGGCCACTGGCATAGCAGCATGGAAACTCCTGGCAGAAGGGCAGTTCTCATCCGGGAAGGACGCATCCTATTACTTAGAGTAAATGGCATGGGATTTAAATGTTTGGAATTGTTTATTTCTGGAATTCTCCACTTAATACTTTTAGACCGCAGATAAACATGGGAAATTGAAAGTAAGTTCACAGGTAAAGGGTATTTCGGCACAACCTTATGTTTTTATACATTTTATTCATCAGGAGAGTATTTGTTGAATGCTTACATTGTGACAGCAGTGATCTATGCTCTGTGTATTTTAACTTATTTGCTCTTGCTAATAATAATGATTTAATATGCATTTTATTGCTTCTGTTGCATATAGAAGGAAGCTAAAGTGTCTTATGTACACTCAGAAGTAAGTGGCAAAGGCTGACTGTAATAAACCTAAGTCTCTAATTGCAGTCAGTACTTAAATAGCACATTACAGAGCAATATGTACAATAGATTCATTTGCACAGTAGATTTTAAAGACATTTTTTATTGCAATACTAGTATGTATGTGTATGTTGTATGTATGTGTAACTCATAGATGTTTTGGCATTTTTTAAATTTCAAGATGGGAGTCATGTCAATATTTTTATATACAAATTATCAGGAACATCTCTGATTATTTCTTTGAAACTAATTAAATAATGGTAACTTGCATTACTGTGTCAGTGTGTATTACATGCATGTTAAATGCTTTAGAAATAAGTAGCTAAAGTGCCCTTCAGAAACATAATTTAGTTAGTGATCCCCAGAACAGAAATCCCAAATGGCAGCTGCTGTACCCCAGGCAGACTGAATGTTGTGATATAATAGAACCTTTAATAATTTGAGTGCCATGATGTAATTGCCATTCAGTTTTTAAATTTTTTTCACCCTTGTCCTTGACAATTTATTATTTTACTTCATGTACATGTATGAATGTATGTATGCCTATGTACCACAAGCATGTGTCTTCCTCCAGAGGCCAGAAGGCATCATGTTTGCTGGCACTGGAGTTACAGTCAGTTGTGCTGAAGGTGCTGGGAACTGAGCCTCGGCCATCTGTAAAAGCAGCGAGTGCTCTCAGCTTTAGCTCCTTCTGTGAGCCCTGTTAAATGTTCATTGATCACCTGTATTTCTGCTTTTGAAAAAGAAATTATTTGGTGTATATTTTTTATTTTTGGTTTTTTGGGGTTTTTTTTTTGCAAGTTTCTTCTTCACTGGTGTCTCAGTGAGAATCCACAGAAATAAGTGGTCCCTGCAAACTGCCTCACTATGTAACTAACAGAAATATCTTCCCTGCTTCTCGCGTTACCAAACAAACAAACCAACCAACACAAAACAAAACAAAACAATTACACACAACAAGCAAAATTAATATGGAAGTCTAAACTTAAACTTGTTAAAGTCTATATTTATTTCCTACTCTTAACTTTCTATCAGAACTGTTGTTTTCAAATTCATGGCCCTACCCTGTGGCTCATGGACCATTGCCTTCTTCGTCTTGTAGTTTATCTTTACTGACTGTGCTTCAGACATGGGGCATATGAAACCTATTTGACAATCTGATTTCTATTTCAAATTTAGTATAAAAGACTTTAACTTCTTTTTTCCCCTTTTCTCTGTTTCCATTTTTGTTTGTTTGCTTGTTTTCTTGAGACAGGGTTTCTCTATGCAGCCCTGGCTGTCCTGGAATTCTGTAAACCAAGATGGTCTCAAATTGAGAGATCTGCCTCTTGAGTGCCGGGATTAAAGGCACGCACTACCATGCCCAGCTTCTCTGTTTCCTTTAAACTCTACCAGATAGCATCATTTTGTGCATTGACTCTATTCTTCATTACTTTCATGTAAAGCTGACTGTTCATCTTTCATCCTCATTTATTTTACCCATACACTCTCGTTACATTACGTTGTGGGTTTCTTTCTTTGGAGTGCCACAGGCTTTTGTGCTTTTGTGGTTTGGGTTTTTGAGACTGTTGTCTAGGCCAGGTTTTTCTATATATTCATTGGTATCTGTTAGGCTCCTTTAAGAGGACCCCTCCCCAGTTTATCTCTGCTTTTGCCCCAAGTGCCTTCTTTTAAAAGAATTAAGTTGTGTGACTCTTACAACTTCATTTAGAAGTGCCTGTTCAAGTTTCCAGTTTAGTCAGGAAGGAAAGGGGATTGTCCTGACTCAGTTCCAGGGAAACAGAGCCCTCCATCCTGGATGAAGACAGCACCAGGCAGGGAAGGCGTGCAGGCAGGCGCAGGAAGCTGGCTGACCATCTTTCACATCCTGACTCAGGGAGCAGAAAGAGTGACCAGGAAGTGGGTCCACGATGTAAAACTTAAAGCCCACCTCTAGTGGCCTACTTCCTCCAGCAAGGCTTTCCAGATGCTACCAGTTGGGGATCAAGGGTCCAAGCATACGAGCCAATGAGTGAAATTTTATATTCAGATCACAATAGTGAATGCTGATGAGTATGATGTTTTATATGAAAGGAAAGTAACAAGATCCAAAATAGTACATTCAGTCATGAAGGGTGAGAAAAGGGGTTGGAAAGGGACATTATCTGCCTTCAAGATTTTCTTTTAAAGCTTCAGGGATCAAGAAAATGTGGTATTTACAAATAATTAATAATAGATATGATAATAAATGATAGATCAACAGGACAAAATAGAGAACCCAGGAACAGACCTAAAGTTAGCATTGTGAATTGTTTACAGTATAAAATCCAACTGGGCACACACTCATAATTTCCGAGAATTTGTAATTTTTATGTATTAATACCATTCTTAGGAAGATATTTTATTGTCACATAGTAAGAGACACTTGTGTTCAGTCACACAACTAAAGGGAACACACAGCTTCGGTTTGCAACCATAGCCACACATGAAGTCCTCAGAGAAACTCAGAACATGTACAGCGCATTTCTGTGAAGTCATGAAATGCTTGTGCCATGATTTGCACTGGTAAATGCAGAAGAGAATTAGAAGGGTAGTGTGTCAGAATCTTCCGCTATCCCAAGAGGGCATGGAGTTCAGTTACCCCGCACAGCTCTCCGGAGCAAGGTGTAAAAGCCTGCCCCCTCCTACTGCTGCTTTTAATGATGGTTCCCCAGCCAAGGCTGCCACTGCACCCCCATTGTCATCACTATCTGCTCTAGAACCAGAATGGCAAAAATGGGGGTGGGGATAGGGAGAAGACAAGGTACAGAAGGAGGAAAAGAAAAAGAAAGAGCAATAAACTGCCAGCAGACATGAATGCCAGCAAATAATATTTCTGTTGTTTCTGCGATCACTCTGATGTCAGAGATGTGGCTGGAACTGGGCTTCAGCATGTAGGGTCTCTGCAGGGCCACAGTCTGACTGATTGTAAGCGCTCATGGGCGCGTCAGTGGATCCTTCAGAATGTGATGTTCAAATACAGGTGACCCCTGAAGAACATAGAAGGTGACTTTCATAAATGTAAAATAAGATTTTATTCAGTACTCTAGTCATTTTAGAAAGTTGTAAGAAATAAATGTGATTCAGAGAGTATTTGGGGGAGCCAAGTATCTCAGCAGGGGTGTAACCCAGGGTTGGAGAGCTTCTCTGCCTACCTTGGGCTCCATCCTCAGCACACCTACTTCCTTTGTCTTTTCCAAGGTTCGAGGTAAGTAGTAATGTCTGAATAATAAAGCTGGGTGAGCCTGAAACTCCATGACCGACAACATATAAAAAGATCTGAAAATACCAAGGATTCTTTGACTCCCATACGTTTGTTTAATTTCTACCGTGTTTGAAACCCTGAGTCAAGTCTCTACCCTGGAAAGGCTCATGTGGATAAAAATATATAGCAAATTGATTCTTTACATCTGTCTTTATAATAGCTAAATTTGAAAATTATGCATGTCTATTTACAAAAAGTAAATGCACAAAAATAATTTGATATAGTTGTCAAAATAAATTAGATAGAATTACAGCTAGAATTACCAGAGGAAAAATCTCCTATTTAATATTGAGTGATTAAGTAATAAGATAAGAGATAGACTTTGTAATTTGTGAAGCATACATTTGTATTGTATATTCATTGGCCAAATACACAGAAAAATAGTATGTGGCCATCTGTATGAAGAAATATAGGCAATAAGATTATAGGAAAACATATAAGGAACATCCCCTTTTTTGTAATGAATTAAAAAATGATTTAAATATTGCACAGTGCTCAAATTGGTAAAGCTGGAAATCGGGTGGCTGAGTGTGTATCAACTTCCTACCACATTATTCCATGCCCAAAGCATTTTATGAGGAATAAAAGCCGGCCTATATAAAACATATGTGCACATTTAGAAGTACTTACACCTTTATCAATATTAATATGCACCTTAGAAGCACATCTTTGAGTATATAGAAGCATACACATGTACACGCATAAGCATTGCATATTTGAAGCACGGATGCAATTCCTGCTGTTTTCCCTGGGGGAGGAGAGCAGTGACAGGCACTAGGTGTTAGGCTCGAAGGGTATTGCAGCTGTTCCTATTCCATGCAATTAGACAGACGTGCTAGACATCTGCCGTGCATTCTAGTTGCCATTTTAAGACTATGTGCGATAAACTGAATCCTTTCAATATTACTTTTCTAGCTTTCGGTGGAATTACTTTTTGTCATGTCCGCATGTGTATGTACATTTATATGTTTATGTGGGTATGTGTATATGTATGTGTAAGAGAACAACTTTAAGTTTTGTGCCTCAGGTGCTGTCTCTAGAATATCGCTTTGGCCTTGAATTTGCTAAACGGGCTTGGCTGGCTGGCCAGAAAGGGATCCACTTGCTACTTGTGGACATTTTCACGTCGTTTCTGACTGTCAAAGTCAGTTCCCTGTACTCGAGGCAAATCCTGTACTAACTGAACTGTCTCTGCAATCTTCAAAAGACAGCTTATTGTGCGGAAGATAAATTTGGAGGCAGCTAGTTCTTGGTCAAGTTCTTTTCTGGGAAGGGCAGTGCATTAGCAAATGCGTTTACTGTGGGTGTTGTTTTCTCTTTGTCTCCAGGATCCAAGTCAATGACCAGATTGTGGAAGTCGATGGAATCAGCCTGGTGGGGGTCACACAGAATTTTGCAGCAACTGTTCTGCGAAATACCAAGGGCAACGTCAGGTAAGTCCGAGGCTTTCTAATGAGCAGCTTGGTAACTTCATACTTTTATGGATGGCAATTTTCCCATACATATTTATAATTACAATGACAATCTTGTCTGAATACTAAAACGGTGTGAACTCTGCTGTTGCTAAGCTACATAGTGTACCTTATTGTTAACACAGTAGAATTACCATGGCCGTGACTTCCTAGTCACCACCTTAGTAAATATTAATGTCCTCCTCAGTTCCTTTTAATGAAAACAGTTTGGGAACAATTGAAACTGAAATGGATGCTCACACACCAGTGGCATGTATTATTAGACAAACAGGCTGCTCGATTTGAGGCAGTGTATTTAAGAATCTGTTCATTGTTGTTAAGAGTCAGGCAGGGTCTATCTTTGATGCATCACGTCTTTCTAACTTAATAGCACAGAGGGTACAATCTTCAGATTTTGGAACTTCTGTCTAGTGCCCTGCTTGTGAGAATTACGACTCTTACATAAGAAAGCCATTTTATATGATTCTGGTTGAACTTTGAAATCAGTTTACTTGGCTGACATTTACTTTTTTTGAAATCACTGTAAAAATGTATTGCACATTGCCAAAATATCATGAACACTTTAAGGAGACACTATTTAGTGAGTGTAACTGTAAAAGCATCTCAGTGCTTCCTCATTGAAATCAAAGTATCAGCCATCCTGAAAATACTGCTGAGGGTCATTTAGCAAGGGCACTAGTGTCCTCATGCGGCATATTTCCAGCTTTCCGCTTTGTCAAAGTGAAAGCGTCATGTGATGCTGCATGCAGCCTCGAAGAATACAACCTCAACAGACATGTAGGTGGGGCCTGCTCTTCCCACTCAGATGCCAGGGGTGCCCAATACCTCTGTGGTGATGCTCTATAGCTCTGTGGCTCCTCGGTAAGTACGATGGATGTTCTTCAAGACTTGTTTGGAAACTGCTCATTAGACACCAAGACAAACTCAAAGAGAAAAAAGGATACACATTCAACTGGTAAGAACACATCCCAGTCGGAAAGTTTGAAAGGATGGCAGATCACGCCTATTCTGTCTTCTTTCTCCCTACTCGCCAGGACATTCGTGTTAATACTTCAATATTTGGAAAAGTGGCAAGTGTGTGTCACTTAAGTGGTTGCTCTCTTTTCACTCTCTCCTCTTTTCATTCTACCTTAATTCTATCCAAGTAGGAGAGCACAGTTGCAGTTTTCAGAATATAAAGTGCTGTTATGGAAAAATGAATTGGTCTCTTGTTTATCTCAAATACATCTAATACAGAGGAGTAGAAATAATCATAGATCCATCACAGCTACCTCCTCTTTGGCCACTTTCAATGAGTCTGACTCTCTTGGGCCTGGTGGTGGTGGTCCTGCCTGGTGGTGCTTCTGGTGTTTCTGTGCTCTCCTATGGTTCCAGTGCAGTCATCGTCCTGCAGGCCCGACCTGTGTGTGATTGTTTCTGAACCTCTTGTTGCCACTGTTTTCTGTTTGAAATGCTGTCTTCTACCCAGAACTGCTGCACCTTAGAAAGCTCTCAGCTCCTTTGCCCTCCAGACTCCCTCCTTGGCCTCAGGTGACTTAACTGATGGCCGCCATCTTCACACCGTTGTTTCTCCTTGAGGTGACAGAGCATTCTGATTTCACCTTTGGCTTTGCAGAAATCTTGTGCATGTGTGGCACTGTCAGCCTCCTTTACTTCCTCACTATTTAGCCAGGATCTGAATTTGCTGAAGTTATGTGATCCACAGTCTTAGTTAGTTGACTGCAAGAGAAAGTGCCATCATGATCCTAACTTTGTAAGAATAACATGCAGATCTTCCAAATACACTTCTTAGTACTTATATATGAAATGTTAATTTGAAACTAGACCTGAATTTATCATCAAATAAGATACGTGTAGTGTGTGTGTGTGTGTGCATATATATAAATATTCTGTATTTATTTTTCTCTAGCATTTGGTTTTGTTCAGAACAAAACTCTCAGTAGGTTACCCTGGTTAGCCTGGAACTCTGTATGTTGCGAGGCTAGCTTTGAGCCTGTGACCATTCTCTTCCTTCTGCCTCACATTACTGGGTTTAGGTATGTGCCTCACTAGTTCCATATTTCTTCATAACTAGAGACTTACATGTCACATTTAATGATTATTAAAATGTGTTTTTATCTGGTGCTATTGTCAGGAACGTCTCTATTCTGATAGACTTTGTCCAACCACAAATCACAGATCCTACAGAAATATGTGGAATTCAAAGTTGTAAAGAACTAGAAATACAGGGCTTGCAGATAGAGAAAGGGAGAAGAGAAAAACAGGATTGTGATTATTTGTATGCATTAGAGATTAAATTTTTTGTTTCCTGAAAATTTACAGGAAAAAATCTTGTCATATTTAAGTATAAGTCATAGTCATGCTGAATTCCCATGAGTTCACTCATAATTTCAGAGAACAATTTTTCCTCTTCGTATGCTCTGTCTTACTCTGATGTGAATGATGATTCCTGAATTTATGAGTCCATGGTATGGGTAAGAGTACTATTAGTATACCATTTGCTTGTCTCCATTTTTTTTATATTTTGTAGGAAAGTCTGGTTGTCATATAGATAGGCTATCCTAGAACTCATAATGTAGCACAGGCAGACTTCAACCTCCTAAGTAGGGGTTACAGAAGTATGCTATTGTTGTGGTCCTTCTTTGACAGGGTTTCACACGTTCCAGAGTAGGGGGCATGTGGAAAGAAAGAATAGAGAGGCACAGAATAGAACTGTGAGGGCCATTCAGAGAATACTGAATTATCCCACATTTATTTCCATATGCTTACATACTCCAATCCAAAAGGGGAGGTAAGAACGCAAAAGACTGCTTTAACATGAGAGAAAGAATATTACCTCTTCAATACCTGAAGATCAAGCAGCTATACTCTGAGTTATGTATTCTGTTTTTTAGGTAGGACATTCAGGGGCCTAAGGTATGGACCTTAGGCCAAGCATCCTGTAGGCAGCCACTCCCTTGGTCAAACCTCATGTCATATCCCTGAAGGATCAGGAATAGGCATGAACTTTAAGACCTTTAGTCAAGGTGGAACAGGTTCACCTGTATGGGCCATCTTAATACCCAAAACACCAAGTAATCATACCCTAGATCAAGATATCTTGTTAGTAACCACACCTTAGGTCAGACCTCTTGTCAATGACCTTGAAGGAGCAAGAATAGGCGTGCAGTCTCCTTTAGTCAAGGTGGAACAGACTCAGTTCTGTGGGCTCTGACATGCTACCTCTTATTATACTAATTGGCTCGTTGGTTGGTTGTAGTGCTGAGGGTTAAAACCAGAGAAGGTGCATAGTCTGGTTGACCATGAACCGCAGTTTCCAAGAGTATCAGCACTGCTGCAGCCAGCAGTGGTCTCTGTGCTTGTACTTGGTGGTCTCTTGCTAGCTCTAGATCACAACTCAGTTTCTTCTTCTCTACAGAGATGTGAACAACAGATTGAACACTTGCTTAAATTTGTGACATTCCTGGCAAAATAAAAGACAAGATTAATTTCTATATCCAAGATAAATGGTATGACTTTGAATCAATCTGTTAATATGTAGTGATTTCTACTTTCTATTGTTACACAGATGCTTTTTACCTTTTTAAACTACTCCCTACTATTTTCTTCTAATAGATTTATAATTATGGTTTAAAATTAATTTTGTTCTAACTAAACATGGCCCTTCAAACACAAGACTCTCTAAGAAAAATATTTAGTAAATCTGACAGAAATATTAACAGATGAATATGCAGATACCAAGCCTATTGCTTCTGGTGCATAGGATATAAACCTTGAATGTTTATTTTGCATAAGCAGACTCTGATGAGAAGAGCCTCCTCATAAGTGGGGAGCCATGTCACATGAGGAAGTGACATCCTGTCGGCCATCATTCAGGTGATGGGACTTTAAGAAACTTACATTTCCTCTATAGGCTTGCTTCATCCAACAATGAAAATATTCTATAATAAACATAGTAAATCCTGTTCATCCAAGTTCCAAAGAAGAAAGCAGTGAATTCATTTTGTAATATATATTGCGATGTGTAAACTAAGCTGGAGCTTGTCTGGACTGCTGAGGTGCTCAGCTGCAGAATGCCCGGAGCATGGTCCTGATCCTGGTGAAGACTGTGGTGTGTACCACCAGCCAATGTATAATTCCCAGGAAAGATGAACCAGCCTATCAGAACTCTATATAACAGTAATCGGGTCCACAACTTGCCTGGATTTCCTGTTTGGGTTGACTTTCTGAGTCAGTTTGATGGGCTAAGGTAGCCCCACAAAGCTGATAAAGCACCAATTATCAGATCCACCAATCATCTACAGCAGCCCTTTCCCAGTGGGGACAGACATCATGCCATGCTAGGGATGCAGGTGGAGGACCCAGGAGACAGAATGCAAGCTTTGTTTGAGCTGGAGTTGTCCGCTTTCTCCTGTTCTTAGACACTGGCAATGTGACTTTCTGGGCCCAAGACTCCCGCCAGGACTTAACTCCGGTGGCTCCACTGTGACACACAGTGTCTAATGGCTAGTTATATCTCACTAATGCATGTGAATCAGCTCAAATAGCAGCTCGGCCAAGTGATTTCTTATTTTACTGCGTTTACTGTGTATAACTCTTAGTTAGCCTAGTGACATTGCCATGTTCCCACATGTCATTCATCCATGACCCTCTGATGATCTTGCCCTTGTAGAGCACGCTCTATTCTGCTCCCTGTCTTATCATACAGACCTGTATCCTCAGTCCATTGTTGTTGTTTAAGTGTGTAAAGCAAACAGAAACACAGGGACAGTGGAAGTAGACAGTGTCCATTGGTATCAATCAGTGAAGTACCCGATCTTCCACCAGTAAGTGTGACCTTAGGACATTGAGGAAAAACCCTTCTATTTCTTCTTTCTTCTTTCCTTCCTTCCTTCCTTCCTTCCTTCCTTCCTTCCTTCCTTCCTTCCTTCCTTCCTTCCTTCCTTCCTTCCTTCTTTTCT